GGATTATAGATTATGCTGAAACAGATAACCAAGCATTTCTAAGCAGTAATCAAAAGGTGCTAAAGACAAATATTGACAAATTGCTAAATGTGTCTTGTTAAATTATCTGCCACTGTCCATTTTTCCCCTCTTGGAAAGACTACCACCCCAAAGAAGTGTCAAGAGAATACAATGGGCAGCTGGGCCTCAAGTCACTCCACTCCCAAGAAAATGTAGTGTCTCAGCACAAAAACATTTCCTTGGCAACTTGAGCTAAGACAACTGAGTTTCCACTGGAAGACTTCGGGTGCAGGCACATATTTTTGTCTGATGCATTTGCAGTGACAGCAATAACCTGCAGCAGAGATGCAGCATGAATGTTATCTAAGGCGCAGTAACTTCACCATAGCTTTCTGGCAGCGGACACTTCCCATGCTCTTCTTTGAGAAATGCAGGGCCTAACCTCACATGCCTTGCACATCCAAAATTCCTACTAACTGCAATGGGAACTTTTTCCGTATAAAGATACAAGACTGGATGTTCACTACAAAATCAAGTAAACACATTGAGGGTGGCCCTCCCATAGAGACATGCAGACATACAAAAGCTCTTTCCACTCCTTTTCTAAGCATGTCTTTACAATTTATCTGTGAAGTTTTGTTATAACAGAGCCTGGTGTTTGAAATGTGCAATATCTATCGTAAGTATAATACAGCAGTTACATTTAGTCACAGAACTTCCACAAATACTAAAACCCTGCCCTAAAAGTATCTACATGCCATCTACTCACTTTGAGCTATCTTTATTTGATTAATAGACAATCACAGCATATTTTCAAATCCATTTACCATTAAAAAAGTCTATGTTAAAGACACTCTTAATTTGACAGTTTTAAATAAAAATTTCAGACTATATCTGGTACTAGATATAGTCAAACTTACCAAAACTATAATCAGCTCAATATTGTCTTTACTTTGGATGGAAGGAATTATTGTAACAAGACACAGTTATTTTTATTTTGTGAGTTATAACAATTGGGAATTTTGATTATTTTATTCTACCAAAAAAAAAAAAACCATATACACAAAAGAAAAACAGAAATATCATTCTTTCTTTTTAGAACATCAGGGTATTGTATGTTCTCCTTAAAAAGAAGTTAATCTGGCCCACTAAATATGAAAGCAAAGAATAAAGGAGCATTCTTCCCCAGAAATAAAAAACAACAAACAATATGAAAAAGCTGAAACAGTAATGAAGCTGAAATTATCTGAACACTCACTGTGCTGGTTTTTCAGTTTCATATTAGAAATGGAGTGAAGACAATGCTGGAGAAAATTTGATTTCTCCAAGAACTGATGACTACTCCCTTCAAATTATCAGATCTGAAAGAAGAAATACAGCTATTCTTGACGATCAGCTGCCATCTAGTGAATGGTAAGAAAATTGTTTAAAACATTATTTTTATTTTTTTGACATTTTAAGCTAGATTCTTGGAGGAATACCTTTTTGCCATTTTGTCACTGTTAATTTGGGGTCTGTAAATTATTCAGGAGCATGGCTCTTAAAAGGTATGCATTCCAAAGCAGAGCAATGGCACTCAGCAATGTTTTCTATTAAAATATATAAATAAGGTCTTGACCCCACAGTTTGCTCCAAAAAAGCAAATCCTGTGCACTTTCAAATAGTCATATAACTGTTTCTTGGGCTCCACTTCATTATATTAAAAAGAACTGAACTGTCAGTGTCTTAAAGTAAAATATTCAATATTACAACAATACACTACAGTTAAAAATTGAAGAAGCTTAAGTTAAAATTCACCGAAATGTGCACATCAAGAAACAATATCATAGTTTTTACGTTGGACACTAAGCGTGTTATTGTTATATGTATGTTTTACACTTAGTAACTAATTTATAGATAACTAGAATAATACAAAAAATATTAGCAGTGCGCATTAAGACTGCCAAATTAACTATTCCTATGGAAGACTACTGTGTTTTATGAATTCGGACTTCATTCCTGTTTCATATTTTTGTGAAACAAGAAGCATTCTGTTCATATTTCAGAAATTATTACTGGTAGGTACCTGCCCATCAGGCTGGTGGCTTTGTCTTGGTTTTCCCCTAAACCATCACCTGCATTTCCACAATCGATGTGATGACACAAGCTGGAACTGCCACCAAAAGAGGTCACAGCCCTCCTTCCTCTTCCAGCTGCCCATTTCAAGCCATTCTTTGCACTGACACAAGAATTTGAATGGCAGTGCAATGCACAAAATCTAGATTTAGTGCCAGTTAACTAACTTACCAAGGAAAAAAAATGGTACTACACTGAACAAGCTCATCATCTTTGCCATACTGATGCTTTTATTATTAACAGGAAGGACGGGAATTATATAATGAAACTGATAAAGGGTGGAACCCCCTCTTTTACTGTCTAAACTGATCATGGAACTATGATAAACAGAAGGCAGATAGGAAAAGGCTGTTTCTATGCTACTGATCCAATTATGTTTATGCAAATCTGTATCAAAGTAAATTTTAAATTGGAAAAATAGATGGATTACTGCAAAGCACCTCTTCCATGCATTTGTCATCAAAAAAATCAGCAAGATGATCTAAACTTGTCCTCATTAAAGCCAACAGAAGCTCAAATCAATAATTCTAACAACTATTATTTGGAATTCTTTGTCACTCTAGATCAGATTTGTGGGTATTTTCCTTCCCATAAGAAATCAGATTTTCCAGATGTTACAGAGAACCACTATACATGAATACAAACCACAGAGCTCGTTTCAAATATGCACTTTTCCATACTTTCTTTCCTAAACACAACTTCTTAAAACCAAGCAGAGGGTCTACCACTTACAGTTTGGAACTCTGAAATACAAATCTGCCACTTTAAACACAGTATGTTTTTTGTTTAAGCAAGTACGTACTTGAGGGCACTCATGTTTACAAGAACCTTTGAGGGAAAGAAATAAAACAAGAGAATGTGTTTATAAGACATTGGCTTGAAAATACAGTCTCCTTCTTGGAATGAAAGCTCCTTATAATCTTTTGTCTGTACACTCCCTGGACAGACATTAGTCTGTCCCACACTAAATACCTAATATGTCTGCATATTCCATACATGCATTTGCATACATGTGCAGTACAAAAACGTGCTATGAAAAGAAACATTGAGTAGATATCCAGGAGAAAAGGAACAGAAAATAAACACTGAAAGGAGAAAATCTGGCCACGAATTGAAAGGAAATAGAACATAGGCCCTGTTGCACATAATTAGGCACAAAGAGAAGGCTTGCTAGTTGTCACGCTGATCAGCCCTACACCTTTCTTCTGAGTTCCTACTCAGCATTTAAAATTAGCAGAACCCGCTCTGTTAACCCTGCCTGCTTTTGTTCGTATGGCTTACCAAAATATTTTGCGTACAGCCCTTGGTTCAGTAAGGAACGTGATTAAGCAGGACACCATCAAAAAAATTTCCCTACGCTTCCCCTCCAGAGGCCTTCAAAATACATGCTGGACAGTTCACGGTCGTGCTGTAAACCACTCTCTCTGCGTTTTCTGTGAACATAACTATGTCTGACTGGTGCCATGCATTCGAGATCCCAGTTCTTATATGCATGTGGTCTCAGATGAAGCCTGTATGTAGTCAGTACCTGTGTAACTTTACTTACAATGAAGCTACCTGCAAGAATAAAATTATACATGTACTAAATTTTATAGACTGTTATTTTATCTTGTATCTCACAAGGCTTACAAGATCTGTGCCTGGGAAGATCATGGAACAGATCCTCCTAGAAGCTATGCTAAAGCACATGGAGGCCAGGGAGATAATTCGAGATAGCCAGCATGGCTTCACCAAGGGCAAGTCCTGCCTGACAAACCTGGTGACTTTCTATGATGGAGTGACAGCATCAGTGGACAAGGGACAACCAACAGACGTCATCTATCTGGACTTCTGCAAGGCCTTTGACACGGTCCCCCACAACATCCTTCTCTCTAAATTGGAAAGCTATGGATTTGATGGGTGGACTGTTCGGTGGATAAGGAACTGGCTGGATGGTCGTGTCCAGAGGGTAGTGGTCAACGGCACAATGTCCGGATGGAGACCGGTGACAAGTGGTGTCCCTCAGGGGTCCGTACTAGGACCGGTGCTGTTCAACATCTTCATCAATGACTTGGACAGTGAGATAGAGTGCACCCTCAGCAAGTTTGCAGATGACACCAAGCTGAGTGGTGCGGTTGACACACCAGAAGGCCGGGATGTCATCCAGAGGGACCTGGACAGGCTGGAGAGGTGGGCCTGTGTGAACCTCATGAGGTTCAACAAGGCCAAGTGCAAGGTCCTGCACCTGGGATGGGGTAACCCCCAGTATCAATACAGCCTGGGGGGAGAAAGGATTGAGAGCAGCCCTGCCGAGAGGGACTTGGGGGTGCTGGTGGATAAAAAGCTGGACATGAGCCGGCAATGTGCCCTGGCAGCCCAGAAGGCCAACCGTACTCTGGGCTGCATCAGGAGGAGCGTGGCCAGCAGGTCGAGGGAGGTAATTCTGCCCCTCTACTCAGCTCTGGTGAGACCTCACCTAGAGTACTGCGTCCAGCTCTGGAGCCCTCAGCACAAGAAGGACATGGAAGTGTTGGAGCGGGTCCAGAAGAGGGCTACTAAAATGATCCGAGGGCTGGAGCACCTCTCCTATGAGGACAGGCTGAGAGAGTTGGGCTTGTTCAGTCTAGAGAAAAGAAGGCTGCGGGGAGACCTGATTGCGGCCTTTCAGTACCTAAAGGGGGCCTATAGGAAAGAGGGGGAAAACCTTTTTAGTAGGGCCAGCTGCGTTAGGACAAGGGGTAATGGTTTTAAACTAAATCGGGGTAGGTTTAGGCTAGATATAAGGAAAAAATTCTTTACAATGAGGGTGGTAAACCACTGGAACAGGTTGCCCAGAGAGGTAGTGGAGGCCCCATCCCTGGAAACATTCAAGGCCAGGTTGGATGGGGCTCTGAGCAACCTGATCTAGTTGGCGGTGTCCCTGCTGACTGCAGGGGGGTTGGACTCGATGACCTCTAGTGGTCCCCTCCAACCCAAAACATTCTATGATTCTATGATTCTAACTAGAGGACAGCTGGAGGACAAGGGGTTGAATGGCAATGGCAGGGCATCTCATGTTTAGCTGTCACAGAACAACAGCAGCCCTCTTCCCTCCTGAAAAGAGCTTGCCCCTCTCTCGTGGAGGGAACGCCGCGCAAGCCCGGGATGGAGGCGGCAACCTTAAAGCTGCTCCTCCTGGACCCGGGAGATGAAGGTACCCAGAGGTGCAGGATGGGACCTGCCACCCTCTCCTTTCTGGGAGCCAGGCTCGGCGCCCCGCTGAGGATCTCTCTGCCTACTGGCTGCTGCTTGTGCACGGCGTGGCCCCGGCACGATCTGGCGGACGGGTACCTGCAGGTTGATCTGACCTGCAGGACCGCGGGCCTAACGGCACGGGACCTGAAGGGCCTCACGGTGAATGCCGGCCAGCTGGAGCTTCTGGCCTATCGCCGGTTAGAAAAGGCGACTGTGAAAGTGGTCCTTAAGAGCTCTGCAGTGAAAAAGTCGACTCCCAGAGCAGTGTTGCAGGAGACGATCAGAGAACTGCTAAGAAATGTTTATGTTTTGCTTCATTATGTTGTTACTGTTGCCCCAAATCTTGAAAATCCTGTGGTGTATATTGAAATACTCTCTGTAGACCCTTTGACGGATGAAGCTGGGCTGATAACCCCCCAAACAAGCATAAAAATTAAGGAGGTGGTCACTCTTGAATGGTACAGACATTTATCAGAAGATGCTGGAAAAGCTTCAATTGCAGGACTAGATGATGTGGGAAAGTCTTTGAAAGAGATGATTGATCTGCCTTTCCGCTTCCCAAAAACTTTTAAGAAGCTGGGGCTTTCTGTCCCTAATGGGGTGCTGCTAATAACAATTTGTGGCACAATTTAAGAAGGCAGTAGACCAAAAATTTATACAATTAATTTTTCCTAAATGCTGACTGAGCATTTGTCAGAGCAGCATACTACTACAGTTTTACCAATTGTTGAATAAATATCTGTGTCCTAATTATTTGTATCAGCAGCTTCTCAAGCCAATTGTGTGGCTCCCCACTTGTTTTTATCCGCACCTACAGTTGACTCAACCCCAACCGTTGGCAAAAAAGGTGCTTTCCTGAGTCAAGGGAGGCACTGACAGGGACACGGGAAAGCGGAGGCTCAACTTTTGGGAACACGTTTAAGAAGCGGGAGGCGCTGAGAAAAGGAAATGAGGGAGACGAGCGAGCCCGCCAAGCCCAGCTCTGTGGAGAACAAGCCGAGGGGCGGTGAGAAGGGGGGTTAATCTGTTTCGTCTGTGGTAATCTGTTTTGCATCAGTGGCCCAGCCCTCTATGGTTCAAGACCAGGAGAAAGCGAAGAGAATTTGCGAAAAGTCTTTGAGAAGGGCAGAGAAATGTCATATGAAGGCCCAACCATTCTCTTCATTGATGAAGTTGACTCTTTATGCCCAAAGCGAGGAAGTTCAAACAATGCTCCAGAAGATCGTATTGTTGCGCAGTTGCTAACGCTACTGGATGGTGTAGGTAGTGACGGTAGGATGGTCGTTATGGCAGCAACAAACAGGCCCGATGCCTTAGACCCTGCACTGAGAAGACCTGGCAGATTTGACAGAGAGGTAAGCAAACCGCGTTACTCATAGGCTCTCTTTTTTTATTTCCTTTTTGAATCATAGAATTGTTTAGGTCGGAAAAGACATTTAAGATCATGAAGTGGAGCAGGGGGCAATTAATAAAGTTTGGGGTTTTTTTTAACATTTACTAATCATGTTTAATCATGGGATTCTACAGCTTGACACGTGTCTTCTTTCTTTAGATTGCTGCAGCTTGGGTAAGGTAGGGAGCATGTTTTACTCAGGAAACTGAGAGCTCCAAATACTTGAAAATTGAAAGCTTCTGCTAACCTAATGGTCAAAAGAAAAAAGAACACATGCAGTTGTGCAACACACAGTGCTTTTGCTTGCATTGTTTATTTTGCTGGCTAAATGCATTCCTGGGTCATCCAGTTTGATCAAGTTCTTCAATGCTTTCACAATTATAAATGTCTTTATTTTCCAGGATTTATATATTATTGAGATATATTTTATGGCAGTGTTTTACCAGGTTTTTAATAACGTATGAATGTTTATCTAATTGATTTTTTTTCTTTTGGATAGATCTAATTTAGCCCTTGTGACACAAGGAAATAATTATTCCAGTACCATGTCTTATGTTGAAATTACCTTAAAATAGGACTTGATGGACACTAGCTGACAGGGTCTTATGAGCAACTGTTTATACAAACACTGATCACTTGGAAAGTAAGGGTAAATGAAGGGTATTTTAAATATTTGTCATTTGTATAGCACTACTAATAAGTTTCTTGTAAAATTCTTTAGTTGCAGTGTAAGTATGTATAAATCTTCAGTAAACAGTATAAAACAGGGACAAGCTTGCTTGCCTAGGTCTATAAAATAAGAGAAATATAGCAAAATATCTACTTAAAGTTTTTGTTTATTATATTTGGTTTAGGTGATTATTGGGACACCAACACTTACGCAAAGAAGATCTATTCTGCAGTTGCTTACATCTAGTATGCCGATTTCTACAAACGTTGATTTGGTTAAACTGGCAGAAATGACAACTGGGTATGTTGGAGCTGACCTTACAGCACTCTGCAGAGAAGCTGCTATGCAGGCTGTGTTCCGCAGCTCTTTGGTATGGTTGCAAATTAGTCAAGAAGAATGTCACTAATAATATGTACCACCCATTCCTCATTAATACTCTGCTTTACTTAAAAAGCTCAACAAGTTGAAGAACTCACAGATTAAAATACTGAAAACCACGAAGTGTGTTATAAACATAAATACGCCATTTCACTAGTCCTTTCAGTTCTCACCTGAAAAGACTCTTTTCTCCTTTCTGGATGAAAAGCTTTGACAAAACTTTTTATTCTCATCCTTATCTTTTTAGGATTGTGCAAAGCAGAGATTTTAATCTTTTTTGGCAAACTAAAATGACTACCAAAACTATCTTTTGAAGCTATCAGCAATTTAGAATTCTTAATAACAACTGCAAATTGAAGTTTAGATTGACATATAAATATATAATTGCTAGTGATAATAACTATTATCATTTGGGTTGTATGGCTGGATGTGACATTGTTACAGACACAAGGTATAAAACTGGCCTGTGTGCAGAAATTTATAGATAGGGAATTAGAGAATTGCTGTTTCTTAACGTTCTTTCCATCTATTCTGACTTTTACAAGAATTGTGAGGTATATGTTTGCTGTGGTTTTTCATCTGCAACGGCTGCGCATAAATTTAAAGCCAGATCTGCAACATTTCCAGAGTCAGAGCATCTACAGAGAATGGTAGAGCCCTCTGTCTTCATTTGGGGGTAGACAGAAGAGAACATCATATTCCTACAACTTCCATCTCCCCCAGATACCTTACAAATATTGAAAATAATAAACAAAATAATTTGAGCCTGGTATCCCAGAATGAAACAGATGGACAAATGAAAATTATTAATAAATAGATAGCCTATTTGCCTTAAGAACTGCAAGCTCCTTTGTAAAATACATCTTAGTTCTGTTACTGCATCTGTAGTTTAATAATGGTATTTTCTAGCCTATTTGAGATTAAGTAACTCACTTTCTCTAGTGTGTGGTTAAAATGGGTGTTAGAACATTTTTATTTGTATTCAAGAGAATCTAGGAATGTAATCCTGAAACTAGCAACCGTTTGATTTAGCAGATCACTGTGTGATGGAGCTATAATTTCAGGAAATGGAGCTATAATTTAGGGAAAAACAATAGTATTCTCTAAAACATTAATTTCTGTTAAAATTGTTTTTTCCTGTATAAAAACTTGCAAGAGATTATGTTCTGCGTTGTGTTACATCTTTGTGTCTGCAGTGCTTTAAGCTCGTTAGGACAGGATTTTGCTTCTTTTTTGGTTGCACTTGGCCTTTTGTGAAATGTTTTGTGTACTAATGCAGCATTATAAGTTATTATGTAAAAATATTGTTAATATGCTTTATCTGGGTTTCTGCAGGATTCAACTGAAATGGTGATTAACATCACAGATTTCCAAGAAGCTTTCAAAAAAATTCAACCATCTTCTTTTCGAAGTGCAATTGGACTAACAGAGTGTAAACCTGTCACTTGGGAGCAAATTGGTGGTCTTGAAGATGTGAAATTAAAGTTAAAACAGGTAACAATAGAAAATATATTTAGATGAACAGCTAGTTTCTAATGTCCTCTGAGGTATTCTGTATGCTGCATTATATGAATGAATTCTCCTGCAAATTACCTGATTGTAAATTGTATTTTAAACATTTTTTTATGCTACGTTATTACACTACTTGTGAGTTAGAAATCTTCCAGTCACAAGATACCATCACCAATTGTAATATCATAGGAAAATGAGCATGTTTTCCAGTAGCTGGAAAACACTTAATTTGCAGCCAGATAGTTTGTCCATTCCTGAATTTGTAGCCATAGGTGGCTCTTGGGTATCATCTCGCAAGGAAACTTTAAGAAGGGGGGTATTATATGAAGGAATACCAAACTAATGTTCTCTGATTTCAAATTAATGTTTGTACCAAGGAGAGGAAATAATGTGCTCAGCAGTTTTATTGATTGCCTCTGAACTCTAGTTTTGTTACTAAGAATTTCATCCCTTTTTCATGTATTGACAGAGTATTGAGTGGCCTATGAAATTTCCTCAGGCATTTGCTAGGATGGGCCTGTCTCATCCAAAGGGTATTCTTCTCTACGGGCCATCAGGGTGTGCCAAAACCACGCTGGTGAAGGCTGTGGCCACAAGTTGTCACTGTTCCTTTCTCTCTGTAAGTGGTGCTGACCTCTTCTCACCTTATGTTGGAGATTCAGAGAAGATATTATCTCAGGTACAGTTTTTAATTTGTATAAGGTCTATAGTTTATTTTTGATTGATTTTTGTGAAGTATCAGGCCTAAATTTTGTTACTGAAAATACGATAGTCAAAGCTCTCATCTGATTCTTAAATAGAAATGGCTTACAGATTCACATTTATATAAACAGAAAAATCTAGCCCTAAAATGATACCAGTTTTAAACTTTCAAAGTATCTCTACCCTTTTGCTTTCAGTTCACTTAAGAACTTAAATAAGAAGCATAATTTGCCTATAGAAAATGTAAGCCAGAATGGCTCTTGTGAATCTTTATGAATGTCTTTAAAGCTAAGTAAATAAAATACAGAGTATATGTACACTGGTGTTTTCACCTTACCTGGTAGAATGTATGTATTAACATTTTATTTTATTAATAAAAAAAAAAAAAGGTTTTTCGCCAAGCAAGAGCAAATACTCCAGCAATAATATTCCTAGATGAGATTGATTCTATCTTGGGATCTCGGTCACACTGCAAAACTGGCCATGGTGTCTCAGAGCGGGTCCTCTCTATTCTTCTCAATGAGTTGGATGGTATTGGGCTGAAAGTCACAGAAAGAAGAGGAAGCAAACTACAGCTTGAGGGCCAACATCAAGAACCAAGTGATGAGGAAAGAAAGGTAATTATGTTCCCTTTTCTATATAAGAAGAATGATAAATGCTGTCCAGTTGTTCCAAAATTATCTATCTTAACTATCTTGTGCTAATTTGTTTATATCATCTCTTACTCAGCTAGAGTTTCAGGAAACTTTGAACAAAGATTTCATGGTAGTTGCTGCAACAAATAGACCAGATATGTTGGATGATGCCTTACTGCGTCCTGGAAGGCTAGACAAGGTGATCTATATTCCACCTCCAGATCTACAGGTGATGTATTACAAATCCATACGTAGCTTTAAATGGAGAGATATTAATTGCCAGCATACTTTACTTTAAGAGGAAAGGGGGCATATTCCTATAATATATATAATAATTAATGTGTGATTCACTGAAGATTAGTCACCAAACTTGAGGTACAATGAAGAAGTTTAAAAAGGAATAATTATATTTGTAATTCAAAAACCAGTAACATTTTACCTGGTGTACGTAGTTATTCTGTTGTGTGTAGAAAATAGACAAAATCTGGAATAATTGGATATTTACAAAATCAAGCTGCAGTTTAGGAGTTACCATAACAAGTTGACTGTCCTCTCTTCAAATCATTCTTGTGCCCTGTTCCCAAGGGTAGCGTAGTTACTTGTCTTGAGCTTCCCAAAAAAAAGTTGGCCCAAAGCAGGCCAAATGTGGACTCTTCAGTCTAAAATAGTGTGTTTTCATGAAGTAATGATTAACTGTGAATAACAGACTTTAATATGTGAGCTAATAATTACTCGTAATGGTTTTGGTTGTCTCCATTAATAGCATTTTGTTCACTCTTCTGCCAAAAACATGTAGTTTTGGTTTTGGTACTCCTCTGAAATTAGAACTAAGGAAATTCCAGATTTTGTACTTGTTTTGGAGAGGGACTAATTATTGGTTTGTTTGCTTTTGTTTTCTTATACAATATGCACCGATTTACAGGGAAGGCTCTCCATTTTGAAAATCTGCACAGAAAAAATCCCGTTAGATACTGATGTGTCATTACAAGATGTGGCAGTCCTAACAGACCTCTTCTCTGGAGCTGATATTGAAAATCTGTGCAAGGAGGTAAGAAATATTCATGGTTAATCTGTGAAATAAACTTTAAGTGAAACCTTTCAATGAAAAGAGAGAGCTAACTCACAGATGTTACCAAGCCATCTGTAGTATGGATTCTTTCACAGTGTGTAATGAAAATATAAAGAGAATGAGCAAAACAGAAGAACTGAACAGGAGTTAATTCTTTAAATAAAACAGCCAAATAAGAGTAAAGGCTTTTTGTGATAATTGACCAGAAGTTAAGGAACTGTACTACCCTTTGTTTCACATGGCCCTTTCTAATCCAGGCTCACATCTAGATGAATTATATTCCATGTACAGCAAGCAACTGCAGCATATTTAGCTGAAATTAGCATGTACTGTCAAGGCTAGAATGAAAACAATTGAGAAGAGAAATCCGTAAGTATTTGACATAAGTTATATAAAAGACAGAAGACTAGAAAGAAAATAAAAAAACCCACAAGTGATTGTCGTGGTTTAACCTGGCTGGCAACTAAGCACCATGCAGCCGCTCACTCACTAACCCCCGCCCTCAGTGGGATGGGGGAGAGAGTTGGAAAAAAAAGTAAGACCCGTGGATTGAGATAGAGACAGTTTAATAAGAGAGAAGAATAACAATAGAAATAATAATGATGATAATAATGGTAAGAGAATATACAGAATATACAAAACAAGTGATGCACAATGCAATTGCTCACCACCTGCTGACCGATGCCCAGCCCATCCCAAGCCATGATCACTCTCCCTGAGCCGCGATCACTCTCCTCCCCGACCAACCGACTAACTCCCCCTGAACATGATGTTATATGGTATGGAATAGCTCTTTGGTCAGTTTGGGTTAGCTGTCCTGGCTGTGCTCCCTCCCAGCTTGTTATACACCTGGCCGAGCAGGAGAAGCTCAAAAAGTCATTGAATAGTCTAAGCACTACTTAGCAACAACTAAAAACATCAGTGTTGTTAAAACCATCAGCATTCTTCTAGTATTAAATCCAAAACACAGCACTATTCTAGCTACTATGAAGAAAAATTAACTCTATCCCAGCTGAAACCAGGACAGTGATCAAGGATATATTGTCTAATCCAGACAAAAAAGTGAATTAAAAGGTTACAGTAATCTTATTTGATGTTTATCTATTGTTAAATAACCATAAGTTAGACAATGCTGTTTTCAGGTACTTTACCTAAAATTTGGTTTCATGTAAAATATTGTAGAATACTTACAATAACTTCTTTGCAACTTAAAACATGATAATACTTGTAATACTTCAAGTTGTTTCTTTTTCTTTCAAAGGCTGCTTTGTTGGCATTGCAAGAGAATGGACTTGAAGCAACTGCCGTAAAACACGAGCATTTTGTAAAATCATTGAGGACTGTAAAACCATCCTTAAACTTAAAAGACTTGGAATTTTATGAAAAATTTTATAATCAAGAATTAGCCTCTTCAATCAAAAAGGAGTGATGTGGCATAGGTATTTTTAAATATATTACAAAGACTTCGCAATGGCTTGCATCTTTCCTGCCTTTTAATACTGTACCTACTGTAGCTTTCAGTGTGTATGAAATACAGTAAAATTTCATTTATGAAAAATCTGTGATGTCAATAATAGAGAATAAATTAAAATCTTGTTTGCCTTGGCTAGGTTTCCATCTAATGAAACAAGTAATTGAGATACTTAGATAAAACACTGTGGAACAGCTTAGTGTTACTGTAGATTTCCCAGTTTTCAGTACAAACACTGGCATAATAAGAATATTTAATTTAAAATGTGTTGTGAAGTCTCCAAAGGACAGTGAATATTTAAAAAATAGAAAAGCTTTCAGAATGTTAAATAGCAGGAAGTAAGTCCAATACTTCATTAGAACATAAGGTGTCTTATATGTGCATATCTACAGGCTTACTCTCTTACAAGCAGATTCAAAATACAGTAGCAGTGAAAAGGTTGTCAGTGCTTAATACCTTGTTGTAAGTTAGGGAGTCAGGGTTTTTTGGAATCATTTTAGATCCATTACTGATTACTATAGAAACATTTGGATTGAGTAAGCAGATACTAAATACGTCTGTAATCAATTCAAACTATAATAATTTATTCTTTAGAGAAGGAAGTTTACTTTTTAACAGTTTCTCCAGAATTCCCCACCCAATCATTCTTTGTCAATATATTTTCATTGGTCATCTTCTAACATAGACAGATATATCAAAGGAAATTGTTATCACATGTATGTCCAGGGTAGGAAGTTTTTCATTATTTTTTCGTTTTCCCCATGAAAATGCTTGTGAATGAAATACTCCACTGTCAGATAGTTTCTTATTTCAGCTGAGGTTCTTAAGTTATAAACCCACTAACAAGTATTTCTTTATCATAACAGGGACACTAGGGACTGCACTGCAGTATGGTTTATGGTGAGAAGGGTCACGAAAGGAGGTTTTAAGGCAGTTAGTGACTGCAAAGGGGAGTAGTAGAAACCACTGTAACTTAGGAGAGGGTTCAGATATAAATGACAGGCCTATAGCTTGGTGGCTTTAATCACCATTTCGTAAGGAAGGACCATCTTCCTGCTTTATTGCTGGCAATAAGTAGGCCGGTGCCACTGAATTTCCCAAATGCCCAAAGGTTTCTTTTAGCCTTGCTGGACGTAAAGAAGCAAACCTTCAAGGTAACTGTTTTGCTTTCCAGTGTTTGAGAGTGCTGCTTTAGAAGTGCCAGACCTGAAAGCTCTTAGAACAGCAAAATGCTGTCAGCTCTTTCACTTCACAGTGCTGCTGCTTAACTTCCATACTCGCTCCCTGTAAGGACCAAAAGAGCTAATTGTGCCCTGTCCTTGCCACAGGGAGCCAGCAGAGCATGCAGCGAAGGTGATCTCTCCTTCCTGCTTTCCAGTGGGCAAGAGGGAAAGTGAGAAGCAGGTTTACAGGTGCTGTCTGCTGGCACCACACACCTCCAGCCTACCCCTCAGACAGGGTTATTGGGAAGTGACTGGAGCTGTGTAACTCCGTAGAGTGGTGGGAACCTGGGCCGGGGTTAAGCTTTTGTTGCAGCAAAAGGGGACAGAGTGAAGTAGGGCTCCTGTTTTGGTCCTTATATATACACCTTGCTGAGCTCTGAAAAGAGGCAGGCCAAGGCCCGTGCATTTGCCTAGACACGCCGTTCTTCAGGCAGCTGGCTGGAGAATGACCAACAGGAGGGCAAAGGAGAGGCGGAGGAGCGAGCTCTGAGCCTCGCAGTAGCGGGGAGAGAAGGAGCTGCGGAAAGAAGGCGGGAGGAGCGCGCCCCACGTCCCCCCCGCCTGCAGGCATCCCCCTGGCCGGAGGGCGGCGCTGCTGCCCGCGCCCG